CTGCATCTTTTTGATAACTCTAGCTAATATAATAACTGGTGGAACAAAAAGACCCTTTTTCTTGCCCCAAAATTCTGCAAATGCGTCTACGCTTGAGCATGTCTCATTTCAAAATTAAGAATAAAATGTGGGTAACTTATTATTGTGACTGGATGCAAACTAATCCACTTCAAATATGCTCCATTTATTTTCAATCATATGTAAAATATGAAGGGATATTCCCCAATCATCTTTGTCAATTATCTTGGACAAATTATCAGCTTTTTCATTTTCCTCTCTAGATATCAATTAAACATCCAATATAATGCTATCCTTCAAACAATAACTAAATATATTTAGAGTAGAATCAAGAACAGTGCCCAAAAACTCAAGATTTTGCCATGGTAGCCACAAAAACTTTTCTAGAAAATCAGTATGAGATGGAAATATAAAAATGAAATAGTAAGCAGAATGAATATCAAAATTAAATTTGTACATGTAACCGTTGGGTTGAAAATAATTGAGTACGATTCTGATATCCTCGTACTTTACAGACTATTTCCACAAGTGTTTGTTTACATGCCTTAAATCAAGTATCAAACGTTTTTTCCCCTGATAACTGAACTGAAACTGTCAAAGGATTTACAACAGTAGGAATTGTATCACATTTTTGAATCGACCCTCTCAATAATAAATCAGTGATTGCTTCATGTACAAAACTACTTTCATCTAAAGCAGATTTATTATTCTTTGAAATACATGCAGGTGGCAAAGAAAAGAAAGGAATTTTATATCCGTTTGTGATAACATCCAAAATAAATTCATTAGTTCCAATTGTTTGCCAACATTCCACATTTTGTTTTAAATTATCTTTTACAATTATAATAGATGCCTGACCCTGTTCGTACTCGAAATAAACATGGGTGAAACTTCATCGTGAAAATCAATTCAGTTACATCAATAAATAGTCAAATCGGCTGTTTCACTTTCTATTCTGGGCATTGTTGGTTAGATACCTCTGCCTGCTGTAGGTGCCTGACACGTATGGACAGTCTTTTCTGTAGTGGGAGAAATCCCGCATGCGAAGCAGCTGCCATACACCTTTCCTGAGTAGGAACAAAAATTAGATGTACTTGACCCTGGCTAAAGGGGCGCCAAAGCAGAATACTGCATACCCCAGGATTCCTACCACAAAAAGGAGGCCCTGGATTGCATTCTTAGATTGCGTTGTAGACGACTTTTTCTGCTGACTTCGTTTACGTTTACGTCTGCCTGCTATTTTGTTTTCGTCCTCGCTGTCGCTGGCAACTGGATAAGTCTCGTATTGGCGCACCATTTCCCAGCCACCCTCACTCGTGTCTGCAGTTCGGATGGTTAACTTTTTCGTCAGTTTCTTTCAACAAGTCCAACGCGTAATGAAGTTTATTGTTTTGAATAGCCCAGGTTGCTTTTCCAACCAGATCAGAAACTTGAGAGTTGAAAGTGTTTTGAATCTTGTTACCTTATTTCTTCCACGAAAGTTCTTTTCATATCAACTTTTTGACCTCCGACGTGACGGAAAAAATGTTTCTTTTAACGTCTTCTCTCAAAAAATTAATCTCTTGTCGCTGCCCTTTTAATTGATCGAGTACCAAGTGCAACGTTAGGTTGATAACAGGTTGTTGAACTTCAGTTTGGCGAGAAGGTTAACAATCTATGTTGAAAATTAATGCGACTGTAAAGCATCCATACCCAAAGCTGAATGACTTTCAATTACAATTCAAAATGCACAGTAACTCGTGCATACGTAATTGAACAAAACAACTTCTGATTGGTACATTCAAAAGATATATCAAATCCAAAGGAAATTATTTACCGCCTAATTCGCATCACTTATCCGGCGGAAAATATATATCGGTACTTTATGTCGTACATTCCAACACTCCATTACAAACCATAAAAATAAACTGATCCATTTCTGAAGTGAACAATATAACATTAGACTAACAACTGTTGATAGATGATTTAGTTCATCCATCATGCATTTTAAATTTACACATTAAATGCACTATTAACACTAAATGCTTTAAATCATAAGCCAATCTTAAGGACATCATGCAATCTTTATGGCTAAATCATTATGTGTTTCATGCTAAATATCTGAGCTCTAGCGCTCTCGGATTTTCTCAAGAAGATTTTTTAAAAGTTTTTACTATACACATATAAGGAAAATCAATGACCCCTGGGGCGGGGCAAATTTGGACCCTAGGACAATTATTTGAACAAACTTGGTAGACATCCACTAGATGATGCTTTATGCAAAATATCTCAGCTTAGCGCTTTTGGATTTACGGATGTTTCATGTACTAATATATATTGAAGTGTTTAGTAGGTATTAAAATTGATTTAACGTATCGAAAATTTAGTTTCTTGCAGTATTCTTTTTGTCAAACATTAATAGTTTTCATTTTTAATGCATGCATACTTATTATTCAATTGGTTAAATGAAACATAAGTATGATAATGAATCGTAAAATAGTGTAAAGTAATGTTTTTGATGGTTTATTTGGAAAAAATAACGGTGACATTTTGTACATATATTTTGTCATTTTATCATTAGACACTAATTTTGGTAAGATATTTGTCAATATATTAAATATAATATTTCCATGGCAGGCTGCAAATATCTTATTTCCATATTACAGGTATGTCATGATCATAATAACTGATCTTAGCTTATAATATAATTGTCTATAAATATTTGTATTTGTCAATTTATCGATTGATCAAGTATATCTTTAGCTGGCTAAATCTGCACAATTATTACAATACTGTTACTAAAATAGATACAGATATAAGTTTATAATAATAATAATAATAATAATAATAATAATAATAATGATAATAATAATAATAATAATAATAATAATAATAATAATAATAATAATAATAATAATAATAAATAATGATGATGATGATTTTACAACAATTTGCTAAAGGTGATCTTCAATATGTGTTGGGCAGGTTATTAAGAATAGTGTTGAACTGTTCCACACCAACGCATGTTTATAATCACACTCATGTCTCTTGTAATTTTACCTGAAATTAATATTATGCCGTGATTTATTATTTACATGTTCTTAAATTTGTTAATTTGTTATAAAAAATCAGTGCATATTGTCGACCATTTTGTAACTATACAATATTGTGTCAAAACTATAATATAATCCTTTTTATAAAATTGTAAACATTGCACATGTATCTGAAAGACAATCGGCTATCTCGAGCCATCTTAACAATATGTAAATAATAACCCTAAAATGTTCTTATATAAAAAAGTTCATGTTTCTTTTATCTCAAATGGCAATTTGTCAATAAGAAATCACCCATATACAGTTATATATTCAAAGCGACAGAGCTAATGACAAACATCAGAATTACTGAAATACAATGATGTGCTCTGTATATGATATATAACATCCAATCCATAGAGGAAATCAAACCAGTTTATATCTTTTTTTTATAAATTTCAAGTGCCATTGCAAAAAAAAATAAATGGAAGAAACAAAACGAATATTATCGTGACTATTGATTATTTGATAGAATTTCAAATTTCTGTGCATAACTTACCTCATTTCAATGATTAACCTTTGTGAGAAAAGAATATTTTAATTAACTATATGATATAATACATTAATTGACACTGTTGTTTTAATTGACACTGTGGTTTACATATGATTAACATGCAAACTAAAAACTTTCATATATTTCATCAAAATTGAATAAGAATGTTCTGTAATGAGGAAGTTGCTACAGAAAAACATACCAACATTTATGCGTACAGTTGTTGTATCGGACCAAATATTAGGCGTACAGTAAGAAAACTGGAAATATTTTATATATTTTCGGATAGATATGGAAAACTACTCTTGTATATCGTTTTGTTTTCAAAAATAAACATGTTGGGACTTAAACTAATCGAATATCTCTATTTAAAACGACTGATACAGTAATCGTTTGCATGTGCATATCAGGTTGACAGTTGAATTTGCAGCAACAAATACCTCAATAACTTCCTCAATTCCATAAAATGTAGTATTTTATTTTGACAATCATGCACAATTATAAGTTCTTATCAGCATGCACAATGCTATTCTTCAAAAAACTACAATAGACAACAAATATTTGGAAAAAAACATGCTCATACCCACTTTCGTTTTCGCTCCCGTCCGCCATTAGGTCGTATCGCATGAATTCACCTCGCTTAAAGGAGTATCGCACCGCTATACGTTCGACCCCCTGTTTAAAGTACATAATTTCAATACACTGTCAGTTCTACAATCGGTGTTTACATAAGCGTGGGAATTTTCACAATCGCTATAGTCTGTTTCAGAGTTATCACTAGCTACAGTAGTGTTACTACACTTAACGAAACTTATAAGTACTCCGATTTCAAACTTGCAGGAAAAATCCGGTTTTCAAAATATATACTAAAATTGAAGGTATTTGATTTTTTTACAATGGTGATCTCAGTTACTGATTTTCTGTTAAGTTTGAGTTATTGTAAAATGCATTTACTATTATAAAATGATGATACTATGATTAAAGTTTATACAGTATCGACTTAGACTAATTAAAGTAATTCTAACACAATATAATATAAAAAATGGTTGGAGTACTTATAAGTTTCGTTAAGTGTATATGATGAGTAGTTTCTACGTGAGAGGTTGCAATGTATATCACTAGTACTTGTCGCACAAGAACTTACACTATTATTTATGTTTATAGTTCTTGATAATCCCATGAGTTCCTAGCAGGAAACACTGGCATTAGATTTTGCTGTTGTATGAGTTTGTCCTGTTGTTTTCCCATGGCCTGAAGAGTCATCAGCAGGTGTTTATTTTGAGGTGCGCTCATCGGTAGAGGAATAACATTGCGAATTTATTGATTAGGTTTAAAGGTGCATTGGTATTTTTTTCGCGGTAGTCTGTGTTGAATTTTTTGCATTTCCTGAGAATAAACATCGTTGATACTATTATTGCTCACAGAATCACTATGGTCTGAATTTCTGATTGCATTTCGACGACTGTATCACTGTCAATATTGATAGCGGTCTGTTTGCTGTTCGATGATTCCAGTATATATGCATATTCACTTTGTTTATTAATGCTATTTGTCATATGTTCGTTATTTGTGGTTCTTAGCCTTTGTATGGTTTCCTTCCAATCTGGGAATTCGTCCTGGACGACCTTTCTGTTTACTATGAGCTTTGCGGGATAGCCTATAAATACTTGACCCTTTTTACTGCGTTGCTTTTTGTACTCTGGCCAAATTTTAGTTCGTACAGCAACTATTTCCAGGGGGTAATCTCTATTTATTCCATAATTTGTGTTTTTCAAAAGGTTGACTTTTGAGAGGATATATTCGACATCTTTCCTCTGTGAGAAGGTACAAATAATTGGTCTAGTCTTACGACGTGGTGCTCCAATTCGATGGCAGACTTCTACACAGATGCAAGAGGTATCAATATCTAGGTACTGCTCAAGGAAGTCAGCAAGCGTATCTTCACAGTTCTCATTCAAATACAGCTCTTGAATGCCTCTGAATATAAGATTGTTTCTACGGCTTCTAGCCTCTTGGTCTATACTCTTGTATTGTAGGGCTTTTAGGTAATATTTAGTTTTATCATGTTCTACTTCTATATTGTCAAGTTTTGTTTCGACGGCTTGCAGACGTTGCGTCAACCCACTATTATTAGCAATCATGTCATACAAGGCATTAAGTTTCTAATCAGTGTCCATTTTCACAAATTCATTTTTAGATACGCATTTAGTATTTTTCATATTGCTATTATTGCTATTATCATAAATGTCTGCGTACGAACCCCCTGTAGATCTTCTTTTACGCTACACCAATGACCAATCTGTCCGTGCACGAGATCCACCATCTTGTGTTGACCCACCTGGTACACCTGATTTAACCTGTGCAAATTTGCCGTTAAATTTTGTCCAAATTCCAAATTAAAAGCCATAGTTTTACCCTATAAAATCCGTATATTAACTCTGACACTGTTTTTTTTTTTCACAAAAAGTTATTTGAAATATGAGTTATTTCCACTAAAAAACACAAAATTCATTTTGTCATACACTTATTTTGTTAAGATATGTTTCAATAAATTTAAATAAAATATTTCTATGACGGGCTGTAAAAAGCGTATTTCCATATTACAGGTTAGCCATGATCATAATAACTGATCTTAGCTTATGATATAATTGTCTATAAATATTTGTACTTGTCAATTTTTCAATTGATCAAGTATATCTTTAGGTGGCTAAATATGCACATTAATAACAATACTGGTACTAAAATAGATATAGATTTAACAAAATTTGCTATAGGTGGCGCAGGATTTCTACTTCCTTCTTTTTAATAAAATACTCTATGGAGGTGTTAACTTCTTGTTTGTTTTAAATTTGCAAAATTTGATCTCATTAATGTTCCTAGATCACTGCCGTAGGGACGCGTGTGTGAATTGGTTTTTCGTTTTCAATGACACAATTTTTTTTTACTTAAATGCTTTAAACAGTGATAAGGCATTAGAAATATCACTGCTTTCTGTGAACAGGGTTAAGCAAACAAAATCCAAATTCTTTTCCAACTTTGTTCTGTGTTTGGCAGCCTATTTGGCTAATTAACAAAGGAAAATTGTTAAATAACCCAAATGCGTTATCTGATAAAATTCCCGCAACTTCGTCTATTCAGTTTATCAAAAAGAACAAAGTCGCCCGCTTATTTTATATATTATTCAATTAAACATTGTTTATTTATATGATATATTCAATAAAGATCATGTTATTTCAGCTTTGTAATCTTTTTCTTTTATATAGGATCATATGCCTAGCAATTCAATTGACAAGGATTATCATATAGATACAAAATGAATGATATCGATGGCTCAGCGCAATACTGGTCTCAGTGACATTTTTACCAAAAATCACTTTTTTTTACATATTTTGATAATGTAAGGTCAAATACACATTCTGTGAAAATTTTAGGGTAATTTATGTTTTTTTGCCTTTTTTATTTACAGTTAAAATGAAAGACTATCTCAGGTAGTTCAATTTCGTCAGTGCAATATAGGTCTAACTTGAGTTGGTCTCTTATTGCGATGTCAAAAATATCACTTTTCCTCAAAAATGCTTGAGTTAGACCTTAAATGTTTTATTTCCAGGTACAAAATAATATGCATATCCCATTGAAATGTGTTATAAAGAATGTGAGAATTCATGAAAACACTAGAAATTATTTGCCTCCATCAGTGCTTTGTATTTCATCGCAAAATATTAGCCAATTGCATATCATATGCAAGTAACTGTAAACGAAAAATCTTGAAAAAAAAAATAATTTAGTGTCACAATTAAACGTTTATTTTGTCTTTGAAGTAATTACATCATACTCATACTGTATTATTTGATAACATAAAGTGCAGTTGAAACTATCATTTTTGTACAATTTATAAAAGACAGTGTATGTTTCTCATGCACACATTTAAAATGGAAAATAACACGTGTTACACTAGTGGATTCATAACCTCTGATCCCCTCTAAAAATTCTTTTTTTTTAGTTTGACCTTTGTTTAATCATAATATGCTGACATTTCCTAATTCTTAATTTTACACTTTGTTCATATTTATATAATGTGTTCTGCTTAAGATGGTGTAAGGGGGTAGACTGTACATTGTTTCACTGCCAAATCAAACTTAGCCTGTAACAAAATGAACAATTTCAGGTTTTTTTTAGGGCGTTCTAAGGCTTTTATTTTTGAATTATGTATCTACTACTGTATCACTCTCTTTGATCAAGTAAGGTTATATATTACAAACTTTACACTATCAACTCCAGCAAAACAATGGCAACATAGCGTCAACATGTGCAAATCACACTCTTCACAATACTTACATTATTGATACAATATCTTTCTGTCTGATGTGATATGTGCAGAAAAAAATCAAAATATGCACACTTATATATTATAATGACCTTTTCAGTTCTTGTATTCTGGTAATTGTTTACATCACACAGCTCCATTGAATTTTTGAGAGTGCAATTGTCAAAAACTCTTTGACTTATGTGGCAGAAACAGCTATAGGTTGATAAAAATGTTTCATTTTAGATCTAAAAGCCATTAATTTTACCTATCAAATTTAATGAAATTAAAAATGTAATGACTATCAACTGCTTTTGGTATAGTATCAGTGTCAGTGAGAAAATTCAAACATTTATCCATTCTAATTGTTTATTGCTTATCTAAGGTGTGCACATGGTGCTTCAGATGTGCACCTTTTCATATCTGAATGAATAAGTGGTTGCAAGTGTTTAAAGCACATCTTACTTTACAAAAATGATTCTGAATTATATCATATGCTAACAATACTTTGTACTATGAATCCATGTTAGTGGGTTGTATTGCCCTACTTTTTTCTCTAAAATGTGTTTGACAACCACTTGTTATTTGGTCAAAATTTAGAGGTAAAATGACTTTGATATATAAAATGATTACAACAAGTATGAAAACAAAAAAAATGTGCTTTAATCACATGTTGAAAATTGTAAAAAAGGGGAGATAATAATTTAGAAACATATTTACCAATCAGTATATTTTATAAAGCTATCAAATAAAATGAAAATGATCTATCTATTATCTATTCAAAATATGGTATTATGCTCAAAATCAATTTATGTTATATGAAATAATGAAAAACCATATGAATACATTACGAATAATGTAGTATATAAATGTAACAATCAAAATTATGCGTGAATAAAGGGAGGTAATTAAATACTTATATCATCGACATAAATAATGTATTTGTATAGATTTAAATAAATTAATAACATTTTTAGATACAGTGAATGACTACTAAAATAGAACAGTCTTTTTATGCCGATTTGTACTAAAAAAAATATTGACGAGTTTGTAAAAAGTTGCAAGTATATTTAGATCTACTTGAAAACTGATTTTAAAATTGTAAAGCACTTTTGCATTCAAACCCTTCGGGCAAAATGTTTCTAACTTATGTATCCAGTATGTCTCTTTCAAAAGTCTCCCCATATTATCATGAAGTTTATCAATCGGCATAAAGGAAAAGTCATCAAGTGAGTGATCTTCGGAATTGAAATGAATTGCAACATTAGAAGAAAAATTGGGATGATTATTACTTCTTATATCAAATTTATGGCTGTTCATTCTTTTTGATACCTGTTGATGGGTTTGGCCGACATACTGTATTTTACATTTTTTACAAGTAATTAAATAAATCACGTCACTAGAAGTACAATTTCCATCAAAATGCATTTCGAATGTTTCTCCAGTATTTGTACTTGTGAATTTACTATTTTCTTCAATATTTTCAACATGTGATTAAAGCACATTTTTTTTCGATTTCTAAACTTTCACATAAGTAACTGTTGTTTTCATACTTGTTGTAATTACTTACTAGCCTAGTTTCCCTATGAAAATATATGTATCTTTTGATCCAGTTATTTTATGTAATTCCTTTCGAAAATTATATATGCTGTTTTTTTAAAAAAGTATATTTATACATACATATGCACATGTTTTATTGTAATACTTATTGTAATATTATCACGTTCCTTTTACGCGCCAAATGTAACGTCTATTAACGTAGACGTTTGTTTTGTACGTTTACGTCATTTTTATATATGTATCAACTGAGGAAGCTTAATAAAGCGAAACATGTTTTGATACTTAATTTGTGTTGGTTTTTGATCCAATTATCCTATATATAAAATGAAACACTTTTATTAATATATGCACGGTTTTCAGCAAAGCATGTCGTACAATTTGCACATTACACTTTCAAAATTTATTCTAAACAGTTGAGAAAGTAAATTTAAAAGTTGTAATAAAAGCATGGTCGAACAGCAGTTTTCATTTTTTGAAAATATTTGATATTTATAAATAATTATATCATCAGAAAAGAGAACCACAAACATTAAATTCATTAAGATTTAGCACATAACAGTAATATCGGAAATTCGGAACCACAGCATTTTAGCACCATTGGTTGTAATGGTGTGCATTGAGAAAATAAAATGTGTCTTCTTTGTAGAAATGTGAGTTATACAAAATGTACATTCCCTGTTTTCAAACTTTGGTGATATCATAATAAATACCTGGATCGTCAGTCATCATTGTTCATGACTACTGTTCATAACACTACATGAATCAAAACTGTTTGCATATTTTTTAGAATTCAAATTTATTGCACAGATAATCTGCAAAAGATCTTTGGTAAATCTGAATCTCAAGCAAATTTAAAAAGAAGAAAGAAGTGTACTTTCATCTAAAATCAGCTCGCATGATATATTAATTGAAAAATATTAAAGGTAAAGTTCTTCTACAGACTTCTGCAGAATATTTTAAACAATGTTTAAATTAATAAAACAATTTTGTTCAAAATCTAAATTTTTTATTTATATCAAAATTTTTAAGGTACAACAGTTCTAACTCAAATATTTGTACCACTTTTACCAAATTGCAAGAGGGAATTTGAGTCCAACTCAAGTTAGTCTTATATTGCGCTCAGAATTTCAGCGCAATAAAGGTCTAACTCTAAAATACACAATTTGTAACATTTTAATAAAAAAATATATAAATGGCATTATTTCTTATTATAATTAATGTTAGCATAACAAAATAAAGTTTTCTAATATAAGTATTTTTGAATAAAATCAGTTTTTTGTCTCTCCTGAACATTTTCAAAAAAAGCAGTTAGACCAGTATTGCGCTGAGCCATCGATGTGCATTTATTATTGTTGATATATAGAGTTGGAATATTCGGGGTTGTTTTGGGGTTTTACGTAACACCAACACTGTAAAGGCCATATGGCAACTTGCCAGCTTTACTTGTGAAGGATGACCTAAAATGCCCCTCCGTGCATTTTTTTACAGAAGAAGTATAACCACCGACGTTCCGTAATGTGGCGGGATATCTTTCTCATATGAAAGAATACAAAGTTTCTGCTTGGTTCATGTCCATAGCGGTGAGGAGCAGGCGATTTGATGTTTACTACCTTCACCACTTGGTCTCGTACGTGGGCCACGCCTTTCCTTATTTAAGTGTGGATCGATTGATATTTTGATAAGTTTTGATTCTGCTGAGTTATCAGAGTCAGGACTAGAACAGAACTCATGCCTTCGGCTCCTAGGCTGAGAGACAGACATCTTATTCACAAGCCTACTTCCTTTGAATATTAAAATATACTATATTTTGTTAACATGGGTTAATAAAATTACATACATCAAAAAAGTCTCAGTGAATTAAGAAAATCTCTAAGGTTTTATTTATACGCGAAAGTACCTAAATAATTAAAAATAAGCAGCTGAATCATTGAGATGCCTTGTTTAATGAACTTCTGAATCCCATAGGGAGATAACATCTACATACAGGCGCGGCTGAATGTAACAACTTATCTGACTGGTCTGCAAATAATAGTCAGCCAGAAATGCGTTAGGTTTATCAATTGCTTACACAACCATTCTTATAATAGTTAATGATTCAAGGAAAAGTTTACAATGAAAGAATATTAACATTTTCTTCAATGGATGATATAAATAACAAAGTTCTACAAAGAAATATAAAAAGACTATAATCAGAGTACTACAAAGAACTTGAATATATTTGTGCTAAATCAACAAAATAATATTGAGAAAAACAGACTCTCTTAAGAAAACCAAACAAGGCAGAATTGAAAATGTTGCCGGCTCGATTTCATTGAGCCTGTTCATGGATGGTACTGAAAAGTGTAAGTTACCGTCCACGTCCCCTAGCACCGTCTTAAGCAGAATTCAACATTTAAACACGAATATGGTGACATTTGGATTTGGAAACATTCACAGATGTGTTCATACGACGGTTATCATAGAACCTTCAATGTCACACAGAAGTTCCATTCCATGAAAAGCGGCGTATGGTCCCCAAGTAATAAAAAGCTTGTGCCCTAAACGAGAAAACAATGGGAGGAACTAAACTAATGGAATTTTGAAAAGGGGTCAGAGGTTATGAAGCCTGCATATCACAGATAAAACGTCAAAAGACAAAGTTAAAAAGCAGGCAACATATCCTAAGGGTGATTCAACATGATTCAAGTAGGAATGTTGGAACCACCCAATTAGAAAATGCCAAAAGACAAATTTAAAAACATATCCTAAGGGTCAGACAGCTATTGACAGATTTTAAAATACTGCTTTCATATTGCATGAATACTTAAATGATCCCTCCCATTTCCTGTTGAGAGTAAATTCGGATGGGAAAAGGCCACATAAATCTTTTCATTTTTCTTCAGCTGAAATGCTGCACCAACGTTGATTGACTGTTCACTTTGTTAATCAGGTATTTGACACACGGAATGAACATTCTCAACGATAATGAGTTCACTTCTTTGTTTCCACATTGTCATAAAAACTTCCGACATTCATTCTGATTGTAAGCTGTACATTAATAAAGTAATGACCGGATTTCTTGATAGATATCGCTCCCTCTTCGTCTAGATATTGTACATCGCTGCCGACCCTTAAATCTGACTTCCAGAATATGTTTGAGCTTTGACCTGGAATAGTAATAAAATTATGTATGATGAATTGAGAAATACAATGTTTGTTTCAAGTTTACATTTTATATAACTGTTAGCAGACGGTGATTGTCTTTTTCAATTTATCCACTGTTACCGATTTTATTTTTATCATAGTTGTTAAAAAATAAATCTAATGTAGTTTGCATGGGTTCCGACAATGTGTAAACTAGTATTTACTACTTCTGTAAATGTATGAACTATATTTTAATCAAATAATACAATTGTTTAGAACCTTCTATTTCTAATGCGCTATATAGGCCATGGAAAGTTTATTTGGCTTGTATTGTGATTGGGTATCATATATTTTCGCGTACAGCTGGATTAGTTTTACTAAGGTTAAAAACATGTCAAAATCTAGTTTTACTGATCTATCAGACGTGAAAATGCCAAACATGTTAACAGTTTTACCTGACTTTAAACTTGCTCCTTTAAACTTAAGTCGTACATTTGATATATTTCTTTCCTCAATTTCACAATCAAACATGGTTAGGTTTGATAAGTTATGTTCTAAAATGATAATAATGATAATAATAATAATAATAATAATAATAATAATAAATGCTAGCGGGTATTAAAAATATCATATGCACATTTAATGTTACAAAACAATTACAAAAATCAAATTGAGTTAAATATTTTAAGATTGCAACTTGGCAAAAATGAAAGTTCAATGACAGAAAACTAAAGGCAACAACAAATTGAGTGGTATAACATCTCATTGTCATAGAAAAATAACATTCACAAGTGAATGGAATATGATGATAAAACTGAAAATACTATTTGATCTCAGAGTCACTTTACAAGAACATTAATATTTCTTTTCTAACATATAGATGATATTCAAGTTTGTTTTCTATAAATAAGGGGATTTATATTCATAGAGTGGTAAGAAAATAAATATTTCATGAGTGACGGTAGCCACGAGTAAATTATTATAGTTTTCATACCACAAGATAAAAATAAATTCTTTATTTAAAAAACTTAAATTTTCTGTTTATTATTTTTTTCCCTTTTTTAACATTACAATTTGAAAGACTACCCCTTAAATTTTTTATATTGGCTAACTTTAGAAGAAAGAAATCCGGCACAACACCAGTGAAAATACGGTTACACTGTAAATGAATTATCAATACATTTTTACACTTAAGATAAGGTAATAGAAAATACACATTTTTTATCAACATTTCTCAATACTTCATTTATAAGTATATAATAAAATGTAATATACCAGGGTTTGCATCTTTGTCATATCTTGCTTCAGTCATCTACAAAAAATCAGTAAGTAAAACAATTAGAAAACGTTTACTAGGTATAAGATATGTATCTCTTGATAGTGCTAAATTGATAATTAAGATTTATTACTTTAACTATTTTCAAAGGATATAAGGATATAATAATGTTCTTTCATTATAGAAACAAATTTAATGATATAAAAAGGGAAATGGAATGAAAAGAAAAGACCTAACAAAAAGAAAGGAACAACAAAAACTGTTATACGCTGTTTACCTTTGACACAATAGCATATATCGCCTTACTAGCTTCAACGCAATAAGACCCGTCAACTTTCTTGGGTTTTAGATGTTCAGTCCATTCAGGTTTTCCTTTTATATTGTCAATGTTCTCGTTATTGAAGCAAAACATTGTTTCGGTATGTCTTGGCAGGAACCGTGTCACTAGTAAAGGTATCTGTACAAGTTCAAGGCATGCAGCTAACACAACCAGTCTGACAAATAGCTGTTTCTTTACCTTAAATAAAAAGGTCAGGATCGTATCATCATGGGTAGTATTACCATCAGTATTAACAAAATAAGATATTACAACGTAAATAAATATCATTCAAAGTACTTAAAAATTAAAGAATACTTTTGATGTTAATTTGATTTGATATTTTATAAAATAATAGGTGTGTATTTTGTGTTCAACTTTAACTGATATCGTATACAATCATGCCTATTAATGTAATTAAAAACATAATAAGAAGTTGTTTATTGTAACAACATAAAATACAGTTACTGTTATTCAAATATCACATTGCATCTAAATAACCTTGAAAATGGTTTATGAAATTAGTTTTAATATCCGTACGTTAATGTATCAATGACCTAGCCGAGTACATTTGGCATTAAAACAAATGTACCCGTTTGTTATAGCAAAAATATGTCGGATCAAATCTTCTGAGTATTCTAAACGTTAATACATTTAACTAATGCAGAAAAAACTTTCACCCTTAAACAAATTTGTACTAAACACTGTTTATGTTTTAACTAATGATAAAAATATCGTTTTATATATAAGCAGTCTACCTGAATAGCTGATTAATACGATTCTAAAGTGTGCATTTAACCAATGCATATACAACTCTTGAAACATCTTATTATGTCCCAAGTTTTTTCACATGTTATCGCAGGAGAAGAACATTTCTTAAAGAACAGACATGATAGTGAGCGAATTGAATACATGCTTAAAATAATCCTGCAATAATGTGTTGTATGTAATATGTCTGATTTGAATAACTTTTATTTTAATAGTAACAAACATTTATGTTTAACGTAAAAAAGTAAAATAATTTACCTTTAGGTTTAGGTCCATAACAAACGTTATCATATTGTTCAAACCGTTTTACGATAAAAGTACTTGTCTTTACATTAACCTAATTTTAAAACTGATTTAATTAGGAAACTACCTGTGTTTACATATATAGGTATTATATCACAAATGACTAATTGGAAAACACCAATATTATATTATAATAATAAACAATTCAGTCACATAGGGAGTTTTACAGGTCATAATTATTCATATCATTTCGAACAATTGAAATACGAGTTGTGAGTTTATGTTTAATTCAATCTAGTTACAACCAATTGAGTTTTCATTGTTTATTAGGTACATGCAACATTATTACTTAGATGCTTAATATTTTATGTTAATCATCATTTTTATAAACCATAGAAACAACACTTTAATCATAATGATAATGCATTCTGTGGTACTATTATACAAATCTAGAAATATTGATGCATAACACATTAAACTCAGAAATGAAAATTAAATAATTACAAAATGAACATAAATAAAAATTTTAACGTTTATACTGGGCGACATGCACTGTCGCAGATGTAGCGATAGCGCAATTTACCGTATACCTCCGAAAGTGGTAGCTCTGTTATTTACCTGGCGTGATTATTTTTGTGTTGTAAAAGAGACGGTACTTAAATTAAATGATAGAAAAAATATAATGATACCTGAAATCACCGACGATATAACACAGAAAAAATTTCCCAAGGGTGTTTACAGTATTTAGGGAGGATATACTTAACTGAAACACAAAACGAGTAAAAGGTGATATTTGCAAGTCTTCAGCAATAAAGGTGTAACCCCGACACCCCCCCCCCAAAGAGAAACATACAACAAACAGTTTTAAGTATCTTTTGGAACAATTCTATAGTATATTTAATTAAGTGGTTCCAAACCTCTCTTTTTTATACTGAAATTTTGGCAACATTCATTTTCTATTTATAAAGAATATTTAAGTTCTTATTTGTTAAAAGGACATGTATCGTATTATTTATTTTAAAGAAATTTACTTACATGAGTGTACATTTTATAATACCCTCTGTTATGATTATTTAATACGAGTACAAATGTAATTCTAAAACTGATGCCTTTAAACTAAATAAGCACTTTTTTAGATTTCTTTGTTGGTCACTATCATGGGCTTAACTCTTCCGATAAAACGTTAGTAATTCGAACGCACGAGAAGCCAAAAAACCTCTATATTTAGTGTAGAAATTTTCGAATAATTAATCTATTTTCAAAATAGTTCTTTTAAATCACCTGAATAATTATTGTAATCGTGTACAATCAATAATTCTATACTTGAAATGTGGAAAAAATGTCAAAATCTCCAATGGATATGTCAAATCATCTTAATAATAAGTTTATTAATGATATATACTTGATATTAGTATGTTAACCCTAACACATAACACCGCTTTACCAGACATTGGTTCACAATATTTACATACGTAATAGTTTTTTGTTGTTGTTTTTTTGCAAAAAGGAAATAATCTAGTCGCTTTAATTATAGTGCTGACTTCACATTTCCTTCCTGGTTTACATTAAAAATATTGCTGCCGTTATCTATTGCTGTGAAGTAATTATATCATAGCTACTTTCTGTACTTTTTTCATTTCGTCCGGATAGGTTTTTTTAGCCTATTTGTTTTAAATGTTTATATCTTGTTTTTTTATATTGTCAGACTGTCTTTTACTGTCTATATTTAATCTAAGGTATTACAATAGTAGTTTAAAACTTTTTTAAAAAACAATTATTTGATTATGTTTCGTCATTAGATAGAATATTTCGGTCTACTTATCATATATTTTGCAAACGATATTGAATTCAAAATCATTTAAGAGACTAGCAAACTTGCAATTGTAATAGAACTGACTGTATCACCGATACAAGTTCCTAACAAGACGGTAGGATGTAAACGCTTGAGGAGCTTGTAACGAAAAAGAATATGCATCGTCCTCCAAAAATAAGTCCCCCATCATATACCACATGGAATATGCTGATCCTAATGATGCTTGATTCCTGAAAAAATTGTCATCGTCAACATTCTGCCCCAACCAGTTGACCCATAAACGTTAAAATTGTGCCTACTGATAATGTATTTACATTAATCACCAACTAACACATATGCATAAAAACAGTTGTATCTTTTTTCTAGTCAAAACAAAATTAAAAACAAATGCTAAAGGCAAGGAAAAATATTTTCTCAGCTAATATGACACTAATTTGACCAGAGTTTGAGTTTTGTTATTCCCTTGACATATAATTCAGATATGAAAGACAAAACAAGTCCTCGTATCAACAAAATAATCAAGATCTGATGTACTAATTGTTAAAAAAAAATTGTAAAATAACAACGTCACGGGAGAAATTGTTATCCGAGTATCATAATTCTAATTCCTTTATCAGTCGCAAAAAATAAATAAATAAATAAGCCGGTAATTTTGTTTTCAAATCTGTCCTTGTGTACTCATCTACAAACCTCTAGTAAGATAAAGAACGTTGACTTGTACAACGATAAAATGTAGACACTTCCAGTGTACAAGTTATAGCTTTTTAGAGTACTTGGTATAGCGGGAAATATGTAATACTGTTCTAGTATGATAAATTTTTAGTATGATAATAAAACTCGAGAAATCGATCAACATTTGAGTTAGATTCTGATAGCAATTTTCACTACATGTAAATTTTATTACATATATTGCTATATAAACAAATTACCAATACCCGATATGTCCTTAAAATATTATGTGACTTAATAAGATCTTGCTTTCTGAAAAAAAAAATAATAATATAAATATATTTTGTATACCCATTTTACGCTGTAAGTAGTCAATTTTATGTCTATCTTACTGAACCTGTGTGACTATATGAGGCAAGCTTTGAAAAACTGTCAATTTTACTTTTTACGACGGTCATAAATAAACTAGGTTTTGGTATTTGAAAAATAACCCCCAAAACAACAACATTCCTCCCGTGAGCGAAAGTGATTTTTATTTTCAAATTGGCATTGAATCTTGATATTTTGATTATTTTTGTACATATTAATATCTGGCATCTAATAAAGGAAAAAAAGTGTTATAGGAACTGAGAAATTGAATTTAATTTACTATTGATAATGTTCTTGATTCGTATCAGGTTTGTGGTCCCATGCCGTGATTTAAGCATCAAGTTTAAATTAGTGCAAGTTTTTGACGGACTTTCTCCTTTTATAAATATAATCATTCTTACGTTTCATGACAATAAACTAATATAACCATTTTTATGTGGTGATCCTAACTATCTAAATATTTATAGTCTTTACGGTTGATTTTAACATAAAACGTTTACGATTTCAAGATTTATTTTGATATTTCACAAGTCAGCCAATTGTAAGAGACGGTTTATGAAGACTATGAGAGTGGGTGCAAAACATCTATTTTTCCTTGTGGAGCATTAAATGGGAGACAATTAAATAAATATTGACATTACAGAATAATGAGGGTTACCTCCATTAAGTTTCCAATCGGAATTTACTCTATTACTTTTTAAGCGTTTAACTTGTATCTTCGATTACAAGGGGAAATATTTCACAAAAACAATTATTTATATTAAATTTACCAATTTATTTAATAAGAGGAGTAATGGCCATGGCTCACATAACTTTACGAATAATTTATAATTTATGTTATTTATTTTCGATCGGAGAACAGATGCTTTCTTCGTTGCTTTTAAATTACAGTTACAACAAAAAAGGCTGGTGGCGTTTAAGCGTTCAACTTGTATCTTTGATTATAATTCCTTTACGTCACTTGTACATGTAAGTGTGCTATATAAGAAGATTCGTATGGGACATAACTTGTCAAGGCTTATATCAATTAAGCGGTCTTATCCAATCGGGAAGTAAGTTGATTTGTCAGTTTCTAGGTATTGCTTAAGGTATATATTTAGTCGATCGTACGATAATAGAACAAACAAATTTTATGACACGAGCCATACGGATAGCCATATCAATCGAACCACTATCAGAAACAAATGTAAGTTATTATATGTTATATAAAATATATGATATCGTTCTTGTTAATTTAGAGGTGGTAATTACATAAATTCCGAAACACGCAAGTATTTTCATGTTTTTTTTAGCTGGCATATTTTGTTTTTTTACAATTTACATTTTTTCAGACGATATGTTTCTTTTTTAAAAATAACTTTGTCATGTACAGTTATGAAGTCGATGATTTAATTTCATCAGATTCTGCTGTTTGTTTAAGTGGTCAGTAGAAGTCACATTATAATTCGAGATAACTTTCGTATCACAAGTACCATTTCTAATTCTGTATGTCTGTTTACAAAAATCTATGTTTTGTGTTTTGAGGTTATTATAAATTGTTGAGTAAAAAAAATGAATTTTATTGATTATGTTGGACGAGGCATCAGCCCAGTATGATATAGGTTTTGTAGCAGTGAACGAATCAAGTAGAATCAGTTTTGTTCTCAGCCATGTTTAATAACCCCTTTATTTTCGTCTATCAAAACAAAGAAACAAAAAAAAACGTAACAAAACAACAACAAATACAAAAATAACAAAAAATCAACAACAAAAACAACAACAACAACGAAAAAAAAGGGGGGGGGAAGGAAAAGAAGCAACAACAAAATAACTTGTGAAAAAACACGTACAGATATACTAAATAAAGAATTATTTATTCATAAATCGTTCAATACCTTGTACAAAGTACTGTATTGATAAATGCAAAGTTTACGATCTGTAATGATTTGTAAAGTTTTACAGTTTAACAGTTAAGGAGGACATTTTTATTCATTAGAGTATTAGAATATCAAGTTTTATGTTGTACTTATATATCATTATCTGTGTGTAACATGCGAAACAAAACAGCTGGATAAATATATTTAAATTTGTAATTGATATAGAATAACAATAAGTATAATCTTTAAAA